GGTGGATTGAACTCAGGCCCTTATGTTAGCCAGGGAAGTGCTAATTCTACTGAGCCATCTCCACGGCCCCCTTAAAATTCTTGAAGACATTGGTGTAGGAAAAGACTTTATGAACAAAAACCTGATATCACAGGAACTATCACAAAGAATCAACAACTGTGATCTCATCTTAGTAAAAAGCTTTTACTCAGCAAGAGAAATCACCAAAAGAGTGAAAACTGACAGTGTGGGAAAATAGTCTTGTCAGCTATTCTTAAAGCACTGATACCTATAATATATAAGGAAATTTTTAAAAAAAAATTTGGATCTCCCAAATTTAAAAACCAAATGAAAATAAGCGTGATGAAGAAGTACAAATGCAAATAAATATGTGAAAAAATATTCAATATCACTGGTCATTTGAGAAATGCAAATGCAAACAATGCTGGAATTCCTTCTCACTCCAGAAAGAATGGCTTTTGTTTTTTAAAAAAATCAACCAATAACAAGTGCTGGGGGGTAGGGATGTGGGGTAAAAGAAACCATTCTCTACTATTTGTGGGAGTATAAGACTGGTTCGACCACTGTGGAAATCAATCTTTCAGTGTGAAGATTACTCAAAAATCTAGGAGTAGAGGTCTTATTTGACCCAGCAATTTCCCTTCTTGGTATCTTCTCAGCAGAATTAAAAGCATCATACCACAGGACCATATGAATACCTATGTTTATAAGGGCAAGTTTTGTAACAGCTAAATCTTTGTAACTACCCAAATGCCCATCAACTGAGGAATAGAAAAATATGCATTTTCTCTACAATGGAGTACTACTCTGTTATAAAGAAAGAAGCTTGAGACACTTCTGGGTAAAAGGATGCACCTTGATCCCATACACTTCAGTGAAATAAATGAGACACACATATGTAAATATCACATGGTTTCTGTGATGTGAGAAATGAAGTGTAAATAAAGACCAAAGTGTATAGTAGATATTGTGGAATAGGGAGAAAATGTTCAAATGGGAAGAGGAACCAGGGAGCAGGAAGGGGAAAGGAAGGAAGGGAAAAGAAAAAACATTAGAAGGAAAAAAAATGGAAATAGCTTTTGTAAGTAAGGAGGTGTCATAGCTTGGGGTTTTTGCAAGGTGAACAATACAATACAGGACACATTTTATAAGAGTATTTTATAATGAATCACCTAAAGAATCATATACAAAGAGTGAAGGACAAAAAAAAAAAAAAAAAAGAGTGCAGGACATCTGTCCACAAACTAGAGACCAAAAAATTCAGTCAAGAGCCTGGATCCTACAATAATATCCTGCATGAGTCCAGCTGAAGACCTAGGGCCTATGACAATGTCTCATCCAGGCCTTATTCATGGATCTGAACGAGGAAGACCTATTTTAGTATATGTGCTGCCGAAGTATGCACTAGGAAGGCCTAAAGGTCAGTGGTGGAAGCTAGAAAGTCTGTACCAGTGGGGTGAAGGATCTGTGTCAGCAGGCTGAGGGATCTGATCTGGGGCCAGGAAGCAGCAGTCAATGTGAGAACCAGAACTCCACCCAAAAGTACCATGGCCACCTTCAGCAACAGTGAGGTCCTGAGCTCCTCCAGTGAGGAGGAAAGCTGAGTTCCCATCAGGAAAACCAATGCAAGAAGCTTCTCCAGGAGACTGACCTGTGCACCATCTTCCCCTCTGGAGCCAGGAAGTGATGCTTAAGATGAGGACCAGAGCTCCCCCAAAGTGAACTGCAGCCACTCTCAGTGACAACAAGGCCCTGAGCTCCTCCTTCTGTGAGAACAACCAAGTTTGTCAGGAAGCCAGCATGACGAAGTGCTCCAGCAGAACAGCCCAAGAGAACTACCAGCTTCTAACAGCTCCAAGAGCTTCTCCAAACAGCTTCCCCAATGGCCTCCCAACAGTTTCTCCTGTTCTGCCTCTCACATTGTTGGCAATGATCCTCAGGTAGGCCTCCCACACCCGGCACCACACCAGTTCAGTTCAGCTGAGTATAACAAATTGACCATCAATTGGCAATGCACCATAGGAGGGGAAGAGTGGTTGAATGGTAGGTAGGGGACTGGGGAAAAAAGAGAATCAATATATGTCATGTACAAGTACAAATTCTCTATGATAAATGTGATTATTACATGTACCTAAAATGTACAAATAAAATTAATTAGAAAATAAAAATCAGAAGTGATCTAACACTTAAAAATGACATCCCATTGTGTAATATTTACAAAAGACAATTTAAATATAAAGGCACTAGTAGGCTGATAAAAAGAATTTTAAAAATACTAAGCATAGTGAAGTTGGTAGCAATATTACAAGCAGACAGTGTAAGTCTCAGAAAGAATGAAAATTGTGAGAGATTGAAAGATCATTCCATATTGGTGAAAGGATCCAATTGTTCAATAAATATGATAACCTTAAGTTATATTGGCTTAGAAACAGAGATTCATGTGAGTTACAGGGATTGTGTCAATGGAATGTGCAGGTCTCTCCGCAGCTCCTCCCTCTGCTCCCTGCTCCCTAAGCCCTGTGATGTGAGCACCCTTCTTCTATCCAGATCCATCTGCCATGCAGTCTCCATCTTGGGGTCAGGTGACGGTGAGCTAAAGCTTCTGAAGTGTGACTCAAAGTACGCCTCTCCTCCTTCAAGCCAGAAGTGACAGGTATTTTGTGCTAGTAATAAGAGAATGACTAAGTCCTCTAGATATTGTAATTTACTTAACACTTAGAAACTATGAAATGATTGATAATTGTGTAACAACCCAGCAGAAGCTGTGTATATAAAAAGATTATTACTTAACTAAAATAAATTCTTAAGTGTAAAAAAAAAAAGAAAGAAACAGAGATTCATACTACATAGAAATCAAAGCTATAAAAATAATCAAATTAAAAAATTTTTAAAGTAAATATATATCAAATCTTAGGATGCCAACATCAATAAATACATGTAAAAGCAGACTCCCTGAAAGAAATATTTGACTTTGTAAATATTTAAACCTTGGTAATTAAAAATAACCATAAATAATAATGAAGTAAACTAGAAAAATCATGACAAATACAAAGGGCAAAAGATCCCTGGACAGAATCTAGGGACATTTATATATCGAGGTGTAGACATTTCAATGATCTGTACCTGATTTCATCCCTAGGCAAATAATGTGATTACATCCCTAAAAGGGTATTACTGTAAAACATCACAAGAATTGTTATCAGTTAGATAATGATGTATAACAAGCCATCCTGAAATGTGGTGGCTTCATTCAACAGGTGTTTATTATTTCTCAGGAGTCTCAGTGTAGATGTGTGGTTTTCTGTTCTGGCCTCGTCTTCACTAGGCTCACTGTGTGTCTGCGCTCTACGGTCGCTCATGAGCCATCCTAGAGTGTTTAGCCCCAGCCATCTCAACGAAGACCAGCTCAGCAGATTATAGGCCCTGCAACCCAGTCAACACATGGAATTGAGAGATAAATAATAAATGTTGGCTGTCTTCAGCCAAAACTTTCAAAGTGTAGCAAACATTAAGAAATGAACCCTGTCAGAAAAAAGTAAAAAAGCTTTCTTTTTTTTTTCTTTTGAAAATTTATTCACAGTACCATCAACAATAAAGCACTCTTTCAGTTCTTATGAAGTTTCCATTTTAAAGACTGTCTTTCAAAAGTACTTACAACGCAGCAGAACTGAGCCTTCAGACTTCCTCCTTCACTTTCTGTTCGGGCTGCAGGTTTAGTTTGTTTTATTGAGTCATAGTTTTCTCCTTTGTAAAGTACACTAGTACTTTTACTTTACAGGTGGGGAAGCTCAGAACCAAAAAATCACCTAAACTTTCATAATTGCATATCTAATTCTATTATTCTTTTTGCTAAAAACAAAAGAAAGATTATGACCAAATTAAATAGGAAATTGATTTTTTTGTGTCAAATGTTGAAAATGTTATCCTTGTGGAAAGTTATACAAAAGTCATCAATCCAAGTATACTTGCATAGTTCATCCTGGTGTTTGATGTGGATCATTAACCAGACACCTATCTTACTGCCCACTTCTTTTATTCATTGTTATTGTCAAACTTTAACTGTGACAATGTTTTTGTGATATTGCAAAGAACTATCATACAATTTGTCATACACACAGAAATCATTTATATAGTTACTTAAACTGACTTTGATGAAATAAATCTCATTTTGTTCAGTTAAAAAAAAAAAACAAAAGTACTTACAAAACAGCGATATATCATTAAAGCATTTGCAGTCAAGTTTTCAAATAAATCATCTTAATACCTTTCTATGGAATTACAACAGCATTACCATCATAGTATTTGTTTGGCTTTTTTTTTTTTTTTTTACTGGGAATTAAACTCAGAACCTCTTGCTTGCCAGGCAGGTGCTGTGCCCCTGAGATATAGCCCCGGCCCACAGTATTTTTATTAAAAATTAGTTCTTTCATTACTAACAAATCCTGGTTTTTAATACAGGTAGTCCCCCTTATCCAAAATAGTGGGACCGCCCAGATGCAGAGACACTAACCTTCTAATCTCAGCACTCAAGAGGCTGCGGCAGGAGCACTGCCGCCAGTGTGAGGCCAGCCGGGGCCACTATGCAGTGGGTGGAGGGCAGTCTGAACTGCACAGGAAGACCCATCTCAACAACACAAGTTGGGCCCCCAAGTACTTCAGATGTGCATACACATATGTGATACGCTAGGCATGGAACTGCAGTCTAAGCAGGAAATTCATTTACGTTCACTAAGGCAGTGGGGCGCAGTAATCTTCATCATGTTCATAAGCCATGGTTGCGTGGTGTATTTTCCACTCAAGCCATCACATTGGTGCTCCAAGTTTAGGATTTTAGAGCATTTTGGATTTTGGGTTAGGGATGTTAAGTCTACTATGCCTTGGCAAGGTAGAAATGTGATTTTTTTTTTTTTTTGGTGCTGGTGATTGAATCCAGGTCCTGCCACTGAGCTACATTCTTGGTTTAACTTGTTAAAATATGTTGAAATAGGGTTTGTTCAATTTCTAAGTTGCCCAGGCTGGACTTGAACTCCCAGTCATCCTGCCTCAGCCTCCCACAGTGCTAGCAGTACAGGAGTTGTCACTGTGGCCAACTCAAACTATAATCATTTCAAAAATTTTGTTTCATTTTCTGTGCACCATTTGTTGTAAAAAATAGCATCTGGTCCCAAGTGTCTTTGTCTGCAGACACTCTATTGCAGACGGTTTTCATTTTCCTGACATCTCCAGTGTATGATGCTAATCGCTAAGCTCTTCCTCGGCACTGAAGTACGTGCTCTTCTTTATCCTTGGGCGCCGTGAATCCTCGGAAGTTGAAGGGACCCCAGCACTGACTTTCCATTTGTTTTGTTCTTCCATCTTGGCTTACTGGCAGGAGATGGCTTGGCTGAGGCTGTCCAGAGCGGGGTCCTTGCCCTCATCCTCGCTTCCTGCTGCGTCCTCGATTTCTTCCGGTTCTGTGGTTTTCATTTTCTTCTTCTTTTCTTTCTTCTTTGGAGGCTCACATTCCCCGAGCATATTCTTTGGACAAGCATAACTTAGGTGTCCACTTTCCCCACATTCGTAACATTTAGATTTATCAAAGTAGTTTCGCCTTCGGATGAATTCGGCTGCTCTTCCATTGTCAATAGCAATGCTTGCCTTTATCACTCTACCAAATAACTGTTTGTTATTTATGGCTCTGGTGCAGCTTTGTGCAGAGTCTTTATCCAAAAACAATATAAATGCCACTCCTTTACTCTTCCTCGTGTCTTTGTCTTTCATTATAGTAACCTTCACAACTTTGCCATACTTGGAAAATATCCGGTATAAGTCGTTGTTTGTCAGGGAGAAGGGCAAGTTGGACACGTACACTGTGCTCTTACTTGGAGCCAGGCCACCACTCATTTCTTCGGATGGGTCGGCCCGGGCGGGGCCGGCGCCGAGCAGGGGTTCCCGGGAGGCTGAGGCCGCCGCTGCGCGTTTCGCGGCTGGCTTCAACCCGGCCGCGGGACGGGCGCCTAAAAAAGCTTTCTGATGTCCCACAAGGTATATGATAAACAAGACGGGCACACATGAGGAAAAATAAATGTTTCTTCCTTAAAGAACCATGTGATGTTATGGCATAAGTGAGAGTAAATGTGTAGTTAACTGTGTTACAATAATTACAAAGGTGCACTTGGGAGGAGAGGTGAGTTGGAGCTTCTCTCGGTTACTTATGAGTGTGTGGACTTTGTGGAGCTATCCATGGCCTTCTCGTATATGCTGCGCTCCTTTCCCTCCCTCTCCGAAGTTCTGTATACTTTTTTTTTTTTTTTTTTTGGTATTTTAGGGAAGGGTCTACAGGGTATTCAGGGTCTCACTACTAGATCGGACTCCTGTGAACCTCCTGTTTACAGCCTCCCAAGAGCTGAGATTACAGGTACACGGCACCACGTCTAGTCTCAATCGCCATCTCAGCCTGCCCCCATGGCAGGGTGGCACAGCAGGCCAGGGAATTGAACCCCAGGCCCCTGCACCCGCTTGCAGGGGCTTTCATCCCCTGAGCTATTTGATCGGCCTTTTTGTATATTTTGTTTTTAGAGTAGGAAATGCTAGCTAAACTGAGGATAGACTTAAAATCATCCATTAGAATACAGGAAAAAACATAACTTCTATCCTTTTATTGCACCTTTAAATTTTTTATGATATTGTTTGAATTTTATTATAAACAAAATAGTACAGTACTATACCCATAAAATTTATAAAAGCTTAAAAACAACTTATTGATAGTTTTACAGACATTTTGAAATCCTTCATGTTAACTCACCTCTAAATTTCAGGGAGCTGAACAGCCCAGCACAAAGAATATGTGTCTCATTCTAATCCTCCTTCAAGGGAATTCACCTCAGTTACTACAGTCGTCAGGTCTTGCTCTTTGCCTTTTGGCTGGATCTCGCCTTTTTACAGAAGAATTCTCTTTCTCCCAGGACTTGGAGACCGCTCCTCAACACTAAAAATTAATTGTGTGCTAGGTGTCAATGCTAGGCTCTGGGTGTGTATAAGCATTTAAGCAGATCACAGTCCCTGTTCTGGTAGAATTTATTAGCCCCCTCTTGTCACACAGTACTATGCACAGTGCTATGGCCCTTCCTGGAAGAAGACAATATATTCACCTCACAATGCAGGGCTACTGCTCCCAAACCTTCCCTTGCTTTGAAGAGGAAAAAACACCATATGGTTTGTATAGAAAATGCCGATCTGTTCTGAAGCTTGATGAATCAGCAAACAGGCCTTGGAGAAGGAAAAGAAAAAGCCTGGCCAGATGTTCCATGTAAAACAAGGAGAAATAAAAACAGTTCTCACAGTGTGCATGGCTCCATAACAGGGACCTGCTCTTTCCCCAGGCACAGCTGGCTGGATGAGGCAGAATGCTAAGGCAATGGAGGGACAGGCAAAATGCCACTTCCACCAGGTGCATCCTTTCCTCCCCTCAGAGGAAGGTGAGGCAGGGGCACTCATCAGGCACCTGATTATATCCACAAGCTGAGTACTCCTGAAGGGAAAAAGAAAAGTCATGCCTGTCCACAATTGGATGCAGAAGGAAAGGAGGGATCTTGGTGACATACAAGGGGAGGCATTGAAGAATGAAGGGGTAGAGTGCCTGTTTTCTTGGACAGTGTCAATTACCCTCTTTCTGAAGGGTGCGAATTGTTCCGAAGCCACCGTAGCATTTTCTTCCTCTCTTCTATGCTTTTTCCTTTTGCTTGCTTTCCTTCTTGTTTTCAATCCAAAGCTCAAAGCTGTGCCAGGAATGTAAGAGGGAAAATTTCTCAAAATATCTTTTGTAGGATGCACTTGGCTAGAGATAATAGAACACAGGAAAAAAATGTTTTACTTCATGTTCTTCCTTTATGCCATGGATGTGGAAATGGTAGAGCAGAGGTGAATTTTATATCAGGATGTGTAACTTGCAAGGTAACAGAGAAACTAAACAACTTATTTTGAGCCTTGTTTTATAGAAGGCATTCATGCATTTTGGGTTGTACACAGGATAGCTGTATTATGTCAGGTAGAAATAAGATCATGAAATTCCATTTATTGGGCAAGTCATATGGTTTAAGATGTGTACAAGTGTCAATGTGTCATAAGGTTAACTAGTCATACTTAATTTTATGTCTCAACTTTGCTGGGCTATAGTGTCCAGATATTTGGTCAAACAAATGTTTCTGTGCAGCTATTTCTTGAATGAGATTAGCATTCAAGTTGGTGGACTTTGAGTAAAGCTCTTTGATCTTTGGCTTCATCCAAGCAGATAACAGAATTAGTAGGATAAAGAATGACTCTCGGGCCGGGGAGATGGCTCAGTAGAATAAGCTCTTGCCTGGCAAGTGCAAGGCCCTGAGTTCAATCCCCAGTTTTGTAAAGAAAAAAAAAAAAAAAAAAGAATGACTCTCCCTGAGAAAGAAGAAATTCTGCCTTTGTGCTCTGACTGCAACTGTTCTCTAGGTCCACAGCCTATCAGCATACCCCATCTAGAATCCACAATCATATGAGAACATTCCTCTGTCTGTCTCTCTCTGTCTATCTGTCTGTCTCCTGCTACATATAGCAGAAGTTTAAAAAAAGAATAACATAAAAGCAAAAGGAGCAGGATGGGTAGAAGAAGGTAAGGAAGGGAAGGAGGGGAGGTAGGAGAAGAAGGAGAAGGAGAAACTCTAGAATTGAAAATGATCACAGATTGAAAATCATACCAACAAAATGCCTGGAAAAGTTAAAATCAAGAGAGACTCCGAGACACAGCTTTCAACATTTTGAACTCCATGGAAAGACAAATTGGCACATTTCCAAGCTGAAAACATGTTCAAAGGGGCAAGTCTTCAAGTTGAGCTCTGGATTTCTCATCTATCAACAGCAATGCAGAAGATGGCCAGGAGGTACTGTCTTCTAAAGAGTGACTGAAAGTGACATGCTATCATTTTCATTTTTGTGAACAGGTAATGGAAAGACTTTTTCATACTGTCTAACATTGAAACATTGGTTCAGGCAACGTCTTCTATGCCAAAGATTCTCAAAGAAACCCTAAAAGGTATACCTTAGTGCTGTCATTTTTCTTTTTCTTTTCTTTTCTTTCCTTTCTTTCTTTCTTTTCTTTCTTTCTTTCTTGCTTTCTTGCTTTCTTGCTTTCTTTCTGGAACCAGAGATTGAACTCAGGCCCTTGCACTTGTCAGGGAAGCACTTATTACACTGAGCCATCTCCCCAGTCCAATGCAGTCATTTTTCTTGAAAAAAAAGTATAATAGCTTCCAAGTAAGTAATTGGTTTTGCTTTGTTTTAAATTAGTGAGACCTAAAAGTAAACAAAGTAACCTTAGAAAGGAGAGAGAAAGAGAGAGAGAGAGAGAGAGAGAGAGAGAGAGACAGAGACAGAGACAGAGACAGAGACAGAGAGACAGACAGAGAGAGAAATAGGAGGAAATACTCAAGTTATTAAATTAAGAAAAGGAAAAGTCAAGAGAAGTGACAAGTAGACAAAGCCGTGTTTATCATCTTCTAGGAATTACCACAAATTACTGTTAGTTAAGTCGCTATAAAATTTTAAGTATTGTAAAATACTTTAATGTATTAAACAGAATTATTATTAGAGTTTCTTTCTTCAAATACGTTAAAAGAGTCAAGGGAAAGAAAATCAGTGTCCTGCAATGTGTGAGTGAGGTGGTGACCAGGCAGCCACCATGGTGGCTTCACTTTGTGGAGGAGAGAAACAACAAGCTCTGCATTTGAAATGTCAAAAGTACAAAACAAAACAAAAAAAAGAGGATATATATGAAGGACCATTTTGTAGTGAAAAAAAATATATCTATACAAAATAGATATACAGCTACTTTCTCTCAGTTCAATGAGATTTGTACTAATATTGTTTAGACAAGATATCATGTTTGCATCTTGTACTCTGAGTAACTACTATGAAGATAATATGCAATATATGAATTATTGTAACTGCCCTACTAACCTGTTTTGAAACTGTCTCATTATTATTTCTTTCTCATTAAAATTAATTAAATATAAATAAATACAATGAAATGTCAAAAATGAATGCAGATTCCATTGCTTCTTTTTCACCCTCAGTCTATCAGTGAGCCAACATCAAAATTCTCATGTGCATTGGTAGCATGTCTCAGAGAAAGCACTGGGCCAGGACCGTGAGATCCATCAGTTTCCTTGGGAGGCAGTGTTGTTCTTACTGTAACAGAAATGTACCTTTCACAGATTAGCTATTAAGATCTGATTCCAAATCCCCTCAGGATTTACCCTGAAACCCTGTACTGTAGTTTGCAGATCCTTTATCAGTATTAGCAATGTGGATGAGTCACGGCCATTGCTTGACCAATTTGCTCTGTGTGAAAGCCTAAGAGAATGTTTTCTCTCTAGGTGATTCTCCTTAAGCACATTAAACAATATCAATCACTTTTCTCTGTGGCCCCATAATCTCCTTGATCATAGATATTTGATGTAGGGACTTAGTTTAACATTTCAATACTTTATGGAAAATACCTGTTCCATGTTATGCCTAAGATGTTTGATATTCAGACACATACTGAGGTTAAGCTCAACTGCTTATGTTGTAGTGTAATAATATCATTAAGCTTCTCTTCTGGAAGGTTAACAACCTAAGTTTTCAGACCAAAAATTAGAGAAAAAGAAGGGCTGCAAGGACAGCCAACATTTTGGCCCTAGCCTTTCAAGGTCAGTGAGGACTCAGGACATAGGAGGATCTGTACTGTAACATCCTGTAACTCAGTTATGTCCCAAATTTTCTGACCAAGGAGATTATGGGGCCACAGAGGAAAGTGACTGATATGTTAAACTTTAAATCCCTACAGAATGTGAAGGAAAAAAAATAAATAAAAAATAAAAAAATTTTGAAAAGTAGAAATAAACAATCACATATTTTTATACAGAAATTTAGAAATATAACCATATATAGCACTACAGCAGTATAGTCCTATGACATTTTTCTCTTCTCTCTTGTT